GACCACTACCGCTGTCTAGTGCCTATGTCAAAATGGCCGAGTTATACCTCATCTCCCCTCCCGGTACGTCTTCATGGTATAGTGCTGAAGTAATTAAGCATTAAGAAAACTTTACCTTCAATATGGCAAGTTGTCTATATGTAAGACACTCCTGAAGAAAATTATTGGTCACCCTATACCGTACGCAAGGTGTAGGAAGTGCGAACAATTGAGGTGTCCTGCTGTCGTAGCTATTGTAAGTGAGAACTGACATATCTCTATTTCCTGTCTCCATAACGAATGGCTCGCACATCCACCCAGTAAGGGACAGGGACATCTTTTTAATTTAATTTTCCAATTTAAGTGCAGGTCAACTGCATGTCAGTTCGGGAACACACCCCAGTAACTGGAACTCCAGATACATCAGCGTCATGCAGATAATGTATAGTAGAACTGCGGCTCTGTTTCAAGCGTAAAAAATTGTTAAGGGCTTGAGAACCGCTTATTTACAAAGTTGTGACAGCCAACTGCATCGTCTTTTCAAAACTACAGCTCGATATTAATGGTTATGAGGGTATTTCAGGTTCACTAATAACTATTTTATGTTCACCTTACTCTGGTTAAAGGGAACGTTCCCTACGAACGATCATGCTCTGTAATGTAGCGGTCTGCTCCAGGGATTTCTAAAGCAGACACTGCCTCTTCATATATCTGAGGTAGTCATGATGGTGGAAATGAAGATTCTATCATCTGGTATGTGACGCCGTGTATTCTGCTTCGAAGAGACATTCTGCCTCCATCTTCAGAATCGAAGTGTAAGCCGAGGCAGGAAGCAGAGAACTGTGCTTGCTGATTGTATTTTTGCTCAGCTTTCTCTTTGATCCTGAAAATGGAGATAGTATATTTCTCCGAAACGTCGTTAAATTTCTGTCACACTACGCGGCATCACATCTCAGAACTGCTTCTGTGTGGAGTAGTAGCTGTTAAATAGAACCTGTCTTTTCATTCTAAACAAATGTATCATATTTTATCAGGCAGATTCTTTGCAGCCAATATGTATTCTTTAATTTACGAGTGTCATGAACTTTTATGTCAAATTCTTTACTAATGTGAAGTATGCGAATGCTTAGTATTGCCTAAATGACTAACTAACGGACTCCCTTCTTCAGAAGCCGTCAGTTGTGCAGCTATTCAAGAATTTCCAGATATTGTATGAAACCCAAAGGTTTATTTACCCTGTTCACAAGAGCCTCCACTGATTCCTATCCCAAACCAGATCAAGCCCGCCCATACCACCCCATCCTATCTCCCTAATGTCTATAAAAATGGGTAAAAAAAGTAAATTTATCCCTGCAACAAGCCGTGGAGTCCCATAGATTTATGAGATGTCGAGATTCCCACATTTTCTAGACCATCGGCTCACAGATGGCGGTTAGGTTGTCAGCCTCACGCGCCCGCTGCCCTTTACCCGAAGGAAATATTACGGATGAAAGGACTAGGTCATTTGAAAAATTCAGTGACATCATCGGGAATCTATCCCGCAACCTTTAGGCTTGCAGCATAGTGCAGCATAGTCTCTGTAATATCTATTTTAATATTATCCTACCACCTACAACTATGTCTTCCTAGTGGTCTCTTTCCTTCTGTCTTTCCCACTAAAATCCTATATGCGTTCCTCTCCTCCCCCATGCGTGCTACATGCTTTATCTCTCTTATCCTCCTTGACGATTAAGTAATATAATTTCAAATTTTTGTAATAAGTTAAAATACAATACGTAAGAATTCACCATCTGAGTATACATAATTACTTTTCTTATGCTGATTAAACACTTTTAAATAGTTCGACCATTCTGAGGAGCCACTTAAAGATGTCTCGCAACGTCACCGAACTGCACCTTCAGAAGACGGTCATGCAGCAACAATACGTGGTGTAGTACGGCGCATCAGTTCTCGAAAAGGTTGCATTTGACAAAGATCCCGTTAGAGGACTCTGATATAATAATACAGTAAAACTTGGTTATAGCAACATCGGTTTCTGCGACACATTGTCTATTGCGTCAAATATTCAATGGTACGAACTAATTCCTCATAAAGCAACTGTTTTTATACCTTGCTTAGTACGACATGCACAAATGCATCAACCTCGTATGTAACGTCATTTTCATTCCTGAATTTCTCTGATATCGTGGGAAAGTTCGATGTGTCTGCCCACCCTCACTTTCTCTACTTGCTGACGTGACTGTCCTGGAAGAATACGACCGCGGGCTGCAAGAGGAGCGTGGGTTTTATGCGAAAACAAGGGTGTGGGGTGGGACTGCGTGAATAGTGCAAGAGGACGCGGCAGGTTGTTAACTGCATTCCTTTCCTAGAATCTCGTCTAACAGGACCTCACATTGTCTACTTACCCTATAGTGTTCCTGCCTAAACCCAGAGAAGTGCAGTAGCGAAAACATGGCAATGAAAAGGAAAGTTTTAAGCATTGAAGAGAAAGTTAAAGTGATTCGTGAAATATTGTGTGTATTGTCAGTGAAAAGCGCTGTAATATGTCTTTGATATTACACATTTGGGCAATTCCACGTTAATGTTACGTTAGTCTGTACTTAACTACGTATTTCACTAAAAAATGCAACATTTTAACTCGGTTTTTGGTAGATTTTTACGTGACTAACATAAGGCTACTGTGGAAGTGCCCATTTCGGTTACAACGGCATTCGTTTATAACGACACTATTTTTAGGTTCCTTTGATGACGTTATAACCAAGTTCTACTGTAGTTCGTTCCTCTTAAAAATTCAGTGATCTAGGATAGCGTAGTCGGTGTAGGAATTACTTACGGGCTAGACGACCGAGAGGTCGGAGTTCGAGTCCCCAGCAGGGACCAGAGCCCTTCCTCAGAAGCCGCCAGTTGTGCAGCTACTCAAGAATTTCCCAGAATTTTATGAAACCAGAAGGTTCATTACTGTGTTCACAAGAGCCCTCTACTGGTCCCTATCCTGAGCCAGATCTATCCAGTCCATACCATCTTATCCTATCTCTCTAATATTGTCCACCCACTTAATATCTTAGTCTTCTTATTGGTCTCTTCTGGCTTTCCCACCAATATCTTATATGCATACATCTTCTCGCTCCATTCGTGCCACATGCCTGCCCATCTAATCCTCTAAGTTGTGATATTAATTTAAATCATTAAATTAATATACCTTTGGGGAAAGTTTATATAAGATATATATTCTTTACTTATTCCCTTTTTATCCTCGAACAAGGGAATTGCGATATATAGCGCTACGAAATTCGTACATTTTGACTGTGACGTCACCAGCGGCTGCAACAGCAGAAGCAGCTTCATATCGGACTCATTACAACACACGTTCACACATAGAAGCGCGGCAAAGTCTCGTCTCAACAATTGTATGATAACACTTTTAATTTCCTTCGGGACATAGAATTTAGCCTTATGCCTGTTTCTCCTTATTGTGAGACAAGTGTATGCAGAACAGGGTTGTCCCATTCACAGGGCTCACAGCCATTTATGTCATAAGGATACAAATAGAGCGAGATTTTAAAACTTGCTAAACAACTGCATACACTGTTCTCATACTTCTATTGAAACTTCTATCGTAACTCTATATTAATATGAAATATACAGCCACATTATTAGGCTTTGTAATTGTCACACATTTCTGTCTGTTTTCCACAAGGCAGTTTACTGATCCAACAACAAAACTTACTGCTTAATATTATTAAAATGATCAATTGTTTGGTCATGAATACGAAATACTCATGTCCTCCTATTTCGCCTGACTTCTTATTATGAACCTTTGTAAAAGACGTCGCCTATTGAACCTCCTCTGCGAAGAGTATGGAATTGTTGAACATTAATAATACACGATTCATACTTGCACGTGTATTAAGGCGTTGTCACGTGTATTAGTGACTATAGACGTGTCCTGAATTGATTCACCGGATTTATTGACACCTTATTAACATAACTTGGGACTAGAGGCAATGCAGCTCTATCGCTATTTCAGCACTTTACAGTTCACCGTTACACACGCACTAGGATACTCATTCTTCACTAGTCGTATCCTGGCAACAAATTTATAACAGTCTCACTATCACTTCAAATCACAAATGAAATCGTCATTTCGCAGCCTAATTTATTTCTTGCCATTATTCTGTAACTGCCGATTCCGAAGACTTGACTCAACTGAATTCGTCATATCCTGGCAGGCTGGTGTCCCGAAACTCGACTCTAATGCAAAACTCAACCCAATTCTCGACAGCTCACTCAAAAGACATTCTTTGTCCCTCTTAAGCCCTCAGCATGCACCACGCAGAAAACATAGCCTCTCTATTGTTGAGAAAGCTTGCTCAGTAATCCGTTTCCTAGCAATGGAAGTCATATTTTTGCGGGCCTACGTTTCCGTGGGAATATGTTAACTGAGACGTTGCCAAACAATGGGTTTATACGTCACAGTATTCTTGATTAAGTCCACTGTATAGTGAAAATGGTTTCATTAATTGGAGGACGACAGTATGGACTTCCACCGTCATGATAATAAAAAATGCTACACAAATTTGGATGGTTTTTATAATTTGCATTATGTCTTTGGAGATTTAATAAAATGTTTAGAAAGTAGAGTGATTTTGATATATCACTAATGTTTCATTCCACTATCAGTTTCGTATTAAATAAACGATCATCAGTTTTATAACCCATAGGGTAAAAGGTAAAGTTACCCCTGTGCTTAATAAATTAGTACTACGCCATTTAAGCATATAGATCAGTGAATGTAGTTTCGACTTCGGCACTAGATGGAGGTGAGTGATCAGTTTCACGCCTCTGCCTCTTAACCCTCTTGGAAAGATCCCCTAAGTTCAAATCGGATAAAAGACTTGGTGGGACCCATAGTTTGTCTAAACTCTGTGGAGTAGCGAAAAATCTCTTGTCCTTACAGGAAATCAAATCCCGGCCATCCAGCTCATAGCTTATCACTAGCGAAAAATCCCTTTTCTTTACAGGAAATCAAATCCTGGCCATCAAGCTCATAGCTCGTCACTACACCGACTGATTTATCAACGGAATGTATACAACGCTTAGGTGTGTTTCCGGTCCTGACCAGATGCAAGGAGTTCTCGAGGATGTCACCACCTAACGGTCTGTATATACAAATTGAGAGATGTCCACCTCACGAATGTTACAGTTCATTTGGCTCATCAAGTGCTTTATTTGAGACAAACGAGATTTTTAACTACATCTGCAATGAAATATATGAACAAACAAATGAAATGTACTGACATTTAATAATTAACATTTGAAGATCTGCTAGAAAGGCTTATGTTAACGCTGGGTGCAACTGGTTATAGAGGTTAACACTATTTTGTAACAGGTAAATTGAAGTCGTCTAGTGCTGGTTCATCATTAAATTTCCAGTATCATAACGTTATATGTTCACATCGTCCTGCAAGTTTATACATGAATAAAAATCGAAGAAACCTCAGTGACACTTGATAGAGTAAAGTGGGAATACAAATATAGAGTATTCAACCGCCTGTCTGTATATTGAGGGCTGCATGATGAAGCCACAATAAGTAACCGTGGTCATGCTCAGTTCTATTCTTACAGAACTGAATTAGTTTGGACATCTGCCTTGTTACAAAATGATCAGACCCAGAGAACACTTCTAGAAATCTGATATCCTTATTGGCCATTTGGCGCATTGTTGACAATATTACATACAGTAAAATAGAAGCTCTAAAGTCATACATTACACGATATTCAAGGGTCTAAGCCCAAAATACGAGGGAGAGTCAGTAAATAGGTCACAAATGGTTATAAAACGTACAACATATGATAGTCGAAACTGGAAAAAGACATTTATTTCTCAGCATGTCCTCCACCAACGTTGATACAATTGTCCCATCACTTTACCAGTGTCAGAAACCGCAGCATATTTCATTTTGACTGATGTAGCAGCCACACCTACATCTCTATTTCAACCACTTCCTCATCAGCAAAACCTCTGACAGAAAGATGATTTCTCTTGGCCCATTGTGAACGACTTTACACGACAAACACTTCTCACCGTAAAGAGGAAGCATTTCTTTATAATATCCTTTGCATTGAATTCTTAACCCACAGAAAACAGACAAGAGATCGATGCTCTTCGGTATTATAATCCTCAAGCATGGGCGTCATTTTGACTACCGAAACCAGCCTCTGAACATGAGCATTTACGTCTGTTACCTAGACTGTCATGAAGCTGGACTGTGCTGCTACCTAGTGATACACATAGGAAACCTATTACTCGTACATCCATTACAGCTGTTTTACTTCCGTTTGTACCCTATTTGTTGACTCTCCCTAGTAATATTCAGTAAACAAACTGAGACAATGTTTGACATTGCTCTTGAGATATCGCATTTCAAAAATGTCAATTTAAAATTTGAATTTCAAGATTCAAAATAAGAATAGGTTATTGAGTCACCTGTAACAATTTACGGAAGTTATATTAAGCAGAGCCATTAAAAAAGTCACGCATGTGTAGTAAGTTCTTTGTACAAGGTTTAGTCACAAAAAATATATTAATTGGTAATATGTACTTTGTCAAGGTAACGTTCTCTTAGAATGTGTGACCCATCTATTTTGGCAGATAAGTGCCCAACTACTAGTACATATCTACATATGTACATATCTACAAAATTATACAGTGTCACCTCCTAGAAGACCATAAACTTCATTTCATAGCGGTGAGAAACTGAAATGTAACATTCATTCTGTTGTTAAATTTCATCTAACTAAAACTAACTTCGAGGAACTGAACCCTCCTTGAGAAGCCGCCGGTTGTGCAGCTACTCAAGAAACTCCCAAATTTTATGGAACCCGAAACTTCATTGCCGTGTTCACAGGAGCCCTCAACTGGTCCCTATCCTGAACCAGTTCAATCCAGTCCATACCACCCAATCCTATCACTCTAGGATCCATTTTGGCATTGTCCAACCACCTACGTATTGGTCTTCAAAGTAGTCTCTTTCCTTCTGGCTTTCCCATCTACAACAGTTCTACAAAAATAAGTCTGCAAGTATTTAAATTATAGGTTTATGCTCAATTCTATACTTCACATTCTGGTTTATCTGTCCATTTTAATTCGACACATATTAGGTAATGAGACCAATAGGACCTCGTCACAAGGCCGTTTTTTTTAATTGGCACTACAGCCCCAGTGGGCCTAGGCCTACCTCCATGAACTTCTCCGTTCACTTCGGTTTTTCTAAATCTTAGACATTCTGTAGGACTCCTTGGGCGGGTGATCAGCTCGTCGCAAGGCCTTTATCTGTACACAAACACAGCAAAACGCACACACACAAACTAAACAACCATGCCCTGTAAGCGAAGACAGTGCATACCTTAGACCGCTCGACTACCGTGACCGGATACAAGGCCGTTGCCAGACGACTATTTATGCCTGTCTTATAAAATTATCTTAAGCAATTAATTCATGTCGTAATTCTGAAAGGCTACCTCGATTTTATGTAAAATTGCATAGTCTTCAGGCAAACCCATTTATGTCCAGTCTGTCGGAAACAATGCACTTTGAGGATCTCATTAGACGCCCAAAACTACAACAGTCACACAGGTAATGTACTTGGTGATCGAAGAAAATGATAATTCTTGGGCTGAATATTTCTCACTTCGGTGAATGCAGGTGTTACCGCTGCTATGATGGACCTCGTCGCTTCTACTAGTACTCCATAATGGATACAGAGTTTCGTCACCACTCACCTGGCAGGTGCACCTTCTTTGACACTGATCTTTGATAATTGGCCTAGGCGGGTTTATATTACACCTCTTGTACGTTATGTGATTTAGAAAGTGGTAGTTGAATTACAGGAGATATTTATATAGTCATAATTTTATTATAGCGAAGAAAAGTAGATAATTTGAAAGTGTAAATTACATTTAAAAAAATAGCTGTTAAAAACCGAATGCATGACACAGTAATTTCAGTAATTTGGTTTCTAGATTGGAAACAGAACTATAATTTTCTCAACGAAATAATAAGTTCAGAGAAGAATTATGTGCCCGAGATATAAGATTGTCATCTACAAAACAATTTGTTAATAAAGTTAATAAAATGGATTAAAAATTAACAAAAGGTAAAAATTTGTATACTTTATTGCCTTATATTTCAACGGAATTGATCATCATGCGATTCGCAAATAAATTACGGAATTTAAACATGTAGTGTTAAAAAAATAGAAATTAATATTGACCTTCTAGTAATTTCAATTTGATTTCATTAACTTCGTTAAAAAATTGATTTGCAGACTGCCTACCTTATATATAAGATGTAGGAACTATGCTACCGTCAACAGAACAAATATTTCAGTATTACATTAGATCTTTATTTACTGCGACATATTTCGGTCATACATGACCATCATCAGGTAGGAATACGTATAGTTATTGAAGTACCGATATGGGTCCTTATCGATGCAACGCGTCGTATTAAATATTAACATAAAAACTTTGCCTCATATTAGTGTATAGTTAAAATAGCAAATACGATACGTACATGATTAAGAATAAAAAATAAAAATAGAATAAAAGTGTACTATATATAAAATGTTGAAATATTATTAAAACATATTAAAGGTATGTTAGGAGTATAAAAGGTATTAACAAATATATGTAGAGTTATGGATCTGTATGCCAACTACAGTATTTTATTTTAATGGGATATCCTGCTACAGGGTAGAATTGGGCATGTATATTGCATAGGTCTTGTTGCAGAAATTCTAGGTAATAAGCCCGGTATATGAGGCCCAAAGACAAGTTTTCAGTGATGTACAAGTTTGATGGTATGTGTGTATTTGGTATGGTATTCGCACACTGTGTATCCTATATATAAAACTTTCAATGTGGCGTATGTTTCTTGTCTGGCCGTGTACGCGTTCGATGTGTACGATGTGTTCTACACTGTGCGGTGGTTTTACGTAGATTCATTCAATGTATTGTTATCCATATGCAATTCTACATGTTGTGACTACCCACAATGTCATTGTATACTAGTGCATTGTGGCAACCCCTGTTTTCCTTGGCAGCTGCACGTCTAAACCCTGTGTTCCTTATTTATAGCTTTCTTCCCAGTCCCGTCTGTCATACAGTTACGCTGAGGGACTTGTCTCTAAAAGCTTTCTGAATTAATGTTTTAAAAGCTCATCCCCTCCCACCCCGAAACACTGTCCTCAAACCGTAGTGGAAGGAACATTAAACACGAAAATAGGTAAAAGTCCTGTTTCACCTTTTCTTTATTTAATAAGGTTCACACTTTTCTTCTTTCCGTTTTTAGATTGTTTTGAGTAAATTGCTGAAGTGTTAAAAAGAAAAAACAAAAAGAAGTAGTGAGCACAGAAATTACCAGTCTGTTCGTCGAGTGACATCTTCATCCGCTCCCTTAATCTAGCCCTGTGTGTCATGCCCCAACCATACTGTTCTCTTCCTCCCCTTGTTCCCCCTCATTGCTGAGCCTCTTATCCCAGGGGGACCTGCAGACCAAAAGAGCCCAGCACACAGACATGCATCTTCATGCCAACAAGGCTTCCACCCTGTAAATTATTTAAATTTAATCGGGTTGCTTTCGACTCCAAATTCAATTATACGCCTATTAATGTGCGAAACTTGATTGTATAAAGTATTTATTACTCTGCTCCTGTAGGTAGGTCTACCGTGGCATCTTTTTCTCTGTTCTTCTTTCATTTTCCTTCCTCTTTGATGTTCTATATTCCGTTTTATTTAATTTATTCTTTCCTTGTTTGTGTCTGAACATCTTGTGCTGAAAAAGAGAGCGTTATGCCAGTTACTCACATATTTACTGAGTGGAAAAGTGTCACGGGAGATAAACGCTCATCCTCTGGACTTACTTCGTCCTTTGTTCGAGATTATAACAAAGGCCTACACCCTCTGTTCTTTGCCACTATCATAAAGATAATCTGTATCTTCAATAAGACTGTCAATGATTCTCGCAAATAAACTTGTTGCGGTAAACAAAGATTTGTTCCAAAATGAATGTCTCTCATAAATACATGTAGCATCATTTAACTTCCATAATGAGGGGCTTAAAAATTTATGCTCAATGCTAGTTATTATTAGGATGA